TATAACTTATAAGATATACAACGTACCGACATTGGAATCAGAAACTGCCTTCTCTCTCTTACTTAAAAGACCGCTACCACTTGCGTTGTATATCTTTCAAAAATGTGTGTTATTTATGCTTAGAGTAACCACAGTTATCTCAGATAACCAACTTGTATGTAGATAAATATAACTATGTAAGAAGGCTGTTTGTATTGAGATAAAAATGTAATTGTTAGAAAGCGGTTTTTTTTTAATTATGGGCCGGTCAAAACTTTTGCCCCCCCCCTTTCAAAACCTGAAATGACGCCACTGGTACTAATCCCTGGATACTAATATAAAACCGTAGGATCTTTAAAAATTATGAAATAATGTAATATTAAATTAATATATATAAATATATAAATATAAAACTTATAAGATATACAACGTACCGACATTGGAATCATTGCCAAGCTCTTCGTAAGAACCGTAATAAGTAGAAATACCAAAATCATCGGCGAAATCTTTGGCCCTAGATATGTCTTTTGCAGCAACAGCCACTACTTTATGATCTTCAGGAGAAAATTTTTCTAAAGCTAGAACAAAATCGTGGGAGATTTTGGAAGCACTTAGTATTCCCCATTTTGTTGCCATAGTGTAAGTTGACAAATTTAATCTATGATAAATAATAAATAAATAATAATATAGTTTGCTTCCAATTTAAATGTATAGGTGCCCGTTTCATTTATAACATATTTGACCTACCTTCAATGTAAATAGTTACCTACACCAATCGTGTTATGACAATGTGTGTATATTGGCACTCTGCACGGTATTAAATCACAGTGGTTTTGCTGAACGCTCCTCGACGAAATCGGCTATCGAGCTTCCGATAAAGGTACACAACAAATACAGTCGATGTATTATGTTTAAATTATAATGTATACATTAAAATAATATCACAGTGAGAGGGAATGAGCTGAGATAACGATGTTGTGATCAATATTGTACTGCTGCTAAACTATACTATACGTATATACGAACAACGAACGTGCGAACTGTGTAGTGACCCGGCAATTTAGTGAGTGACATTATCTGAAGACAGTCTATTACAATTTATAACTTTTCTAATCGGGCTCACAAAAAGTGAGTGCTGACGGTCAATGGGTGGGGACTGGGGAGTACAAATATTGACAATGCCAGGGAGTATAATAGAACTATTTGTTTTCTTCCGCCACGCATAGATTATAAAATAATGGATAAGACATTTGACCCACATACCTAATATATTGATAACAAAGTGATAAATTTAATTAGTAACTGCTGTATGCTTGTACTATTAAAATGAATAAAGCCATCATTAGCTGATCGAGTTTTTGTTTGTCTGTGAAATGAAGTCTGCAGAACCTCCGTGAAACATAGAAACGAGCCAGAGCACCAACCTGAGGTTATACCTATAGTAGGTACGTTTGTTTAACCGAATTACGAAAACGTTTACTGCCACGGTATTTTGCAAGGTCGATTGGATTATCTTAGACTAAACTTGAAAAACACACAGTGTCACTTAGGCATGTCACTTTATAGTGGCGTCTGTAATCTTATCTTTCTGAAACCCAAAGACACGGTTAGATACTACTACGTTAGACTTACACAATAATAATTAGGTACCAATTATACAACATTAATAATATTACAATTCCTCTTAAATGTATACCATATAGCCAGGTATCTAAATTATATTATGATAATGAACAAATACTGTTGCGGCAAAGCTCACAAGGTTGCCAGCAGAGTAACTGACTGACCCCCCAGCTGTCTTCACTAAAACTCTATAAATAATCCATAATGGTTGTTTTCAGTTATTTGTAATTTTATAAATATAATTATATTGTATGATACTTAGCACCATGGCGCAGGCTCAGATTCTGATTTCAGGGACAGCATGAGATTATCCAAAAAATTGTCCAATAGCATATTTTAAAAATATTGTTTTTGGTGGATGTTTTCGAAATATCTCTAAATCAGCCAATGATATACTTACTAAGTATATTTGATGATAATATTGTGAATAAAGTAATTCATTTAACTATTTACGTGGAACTTTGTTTTAAATTGTCAATCCTTAGCAATAAAATTTGAACATTTTATAAATTTTTAACTAAAGAAATAATTACCAGATTATATTATATCCTTATTTTTGTTTTACTTAATATTTATACATTTAGTACAATGACAGTGGCAGGTAGGTATAGGTTAGGTACTTATGAAATGTACGATTAATATTCAGGGTGTAACCGGAAGACCTGACAGATGAAATAACTTTTGTTCTAATCAATATTTAAGATTTTTTTTTAAATATAATTTAGTCTCTTGCGCCACACGTGTAATATGAAAAAAATTATTTTATTTTTTAATACTGAAAATAAAAATTCAAAATAGCCAATTTGTAAATATGATTATTAGAATAATTTTGATGGTAAAAACATTTATCTAAATCAAGAAGTATATTTTTTAGAATTTTTTTAAATATAAATATTTTTTTAATTAAATTAATTTTCAACGTGATAACTTTTTTCAAAATATCATTTTTGGGAATTTCCTGACGTGACTCTTAAATTATTTACTGACCATAATATAATTTTCATAATTTCTGTCATGTTGCGTTTAAGTAACATCATTTTTTTTTTTTTGTTAGGTCATCCTGTATGTAAATTGGAAGGTTCAACCCCCTCGAAGATTTTATTTGTAGCTTATTATAGCTTGTAAGTGCTTGAAATACCTATCTGTAATATGTATCCTGAATCGATAAAAAAAAAAAAAGGTAACATTTAGAAAGTTGTTAACACTTATAGGTAAGTGTACAAAATATATAAATAAAAGATATTGCTTCAAACGTATTTCGGAGAAGGATGATCGTTGTTATGGATAATATTTTCTATCTTTATGACTTTATTGAATATTATTTATACACATCGGTAAAACTATGTTTAATGGTTTCAGTAAACAATTTTATTGAAACCCTTCACGCGTCTTAACGTTTTAAATTATAATATTGTTATAGGTATTATACTGTACAGCTATATTATAGTATAATATACTTTTACGATACATATTTACATTTCACTCCTAAGTAAATAGGCTATTGTAACTAAAGTGTTTAATATTGAAAATTGCACTTCCCAATAAACGCAGGTAAGCACTAGCCATCTTTATAGCTAATACTTGGATATTCACGGCACGCCACACGGTATACGGTAAATGGTAATATGTTGTCTGTTGCCCGGTTACGAGTATATAAGTCTTCCACAGTATACATATATTTAGGTATTGCGAGAACAACCAATAACTTTCAATATAAAAATTCTATGCATATTATACTTAATTACAATCTTGAGAAATACAATGGAATACATATACAATTACGATACACATTAAACAGTACACATGATATACATATTGATCGTATATATTACATACATAAACGATTAATATTTTATTACAGGAATATTGTTTATATTATTAGTTTACAAACTCAATTATAAAATGATCGAGTACCTACCTAACTACCTACAACACGCTTAAAGTTAAAATTGAAATTAGTTCGCGTTTGGCGAAATGATCGAATGAAATATGTTTAGTAATATACATATTATTATATTATGTTACACAGGTATTATATTATTATTATAATGACGATGACTGACGGTCGAAGGTAAACGTCAAGAGGATGATACATTTATATTTGTTATAAGAGATCAATACCTACTTAACACTATTCAGCTAAATAATTATAACAATATTATTGTTAATTATATTCGATTAGGTATCAACGTATCATAAATCATAATTCATAATTTAGAATACTGATTTTCCGTGTATAGCAATTAGTAGGTAGGTACTCAGAGTGCAGGCTGCAGACTGACCATTACAGTTAAACAATAATTGTACCTATATAGGTACATATTATTCTATGAAAGGACAACAATTTGAATATACCTACGACCGAGTGAACGACGAGGGTTCAGGAAATAATGTATAAATGACGAACTATATAAATTGTCATGATATACTATTTTTTTGAAAATGTCGACAATTCGATGTTTATTGAACCAATATTGTTCGATATAATAACGAACTAAATATGGACATGGATTACGGACGGTTTGACCTTACTCGTTTTAGTTCACTTGATTTTTTTCATAGAATCGAACTTCCTCAATACATTACAACAATCGGCAGTCCAGCTCGAGGGAGAGGAGAGTCTCCGAAATTAAAGAAAAATCAACTGATTACAGCATGTCTGTCACCAGCACCAGATGATTCTAAACTATTTAAAGACCTAATAAAAAATCGGCAGACAAAAATTTGGATTCAAACATATAAAAATAGTTTTTCTATAAACTTTAAAAAGGTTAAGTGAACTAAAATGGGTAAGGACAAACCGACACAGTACCTCCTAGAGACCTATAGACTAATGAATATATATGTACTTACACCAAATTCGAAATTTAACGGATTAACTATAAATAGTAATATATAGTATAGGTAATAGGTACATTATTTATATATAATAATACTATGTATATACCAAGTATATAATATTACAATTTACAGTTAAATAATCGGTTTCTGTATGCCTACAAGTTCCCAGAAATGTATTGCAGGTTGTTATGTTGTTATATAGTTTGTAGTTATAAAAAGTGGTAAAAAAAAAAAAAAAATCCTTAACAAAAATGTAGTGCTATTATCGTACATAGTATAATATGGTAATAACGGTAAAGGCATTTACAAAATAACCTCATTAAAATCATTTTTTCTTTTATTTAAACTCTAATCGACAATAATTGTATATTTAATATTATTATAATATAAATCTTAGGTCATAAATTTTAAAATCACGTTATATAAAAAAACAATAATACGTCAAGTCGATGATGACTGTGGGGGGAGGGGGTCGAAGCGAAATAATAACTATATAAAGCGGTTGGCTCATGTTTGCCGGAAATATTATGTATAATATACCGCCGTGGCCGCAAATACTAACAGGAAACGTTTTCCATCAAAACGGACGGCGAACACCTGCCGGATTCGTCGTTGTCGTCGTCGTCGTCGTCGTCATCGTCGCCGTCGTCGTTCAGGTAGGGCGAACGGTTTTCGGCGGCGGCGGCGGCGGCGACCGTGGCCGCGTCCACCGACGGCTCGCGAGCGGGCGACAGCGCGGCGGGGCTGGACGAGCCCGCGGACGATGGGCTGTGCGGTTCGGAGGACGACGTCTGCAGCGCGGCGGTCGGCCACTGGTTGGCGGTGATGATCCGCTCGGACAGCGCCTTGTGCACGGACGACTGGTACGACGCGGCCGCCGCGGTGGCCGACGGCTGGGCGGCGTGATGATGGTGCCACGGCAGGCCGAGCAGGAACGCGGACGCGGCCGCCGGGTTGAACACGATGCTCGGCCAGAACTGTTCGGGTGTGAGGAACGGCAGTGGACCTCCTAGCGCGGGTGCCACGGGCAAACAATCGTTTCTGAACACTATAAAATATATAACGTGAATTAAACTGTTTGTATTTATTCATATCAAAACACAAAAAAGGCCCAATAATTAGGTAGGCACCTACATCGTTACATTTGAATGCGACCATAATTAAAAACATTAGGTAGGTATGCTCATAGAATAATTAGAAATAAGAAATACAAAATCTAAGAAATAATCAGTAATTTTCGACGGGAAAACGCTTCCGTGTCCCCACCCTCGTATATACACCAATGGATAGCGGTGGCGGGTGGGGCTCTGCTATTTTGGGAAGCTTGTACCATTCCCTCAATTGGTTCAATTGTCTCAAGCCAAATATATTATTACATAAGGTATGAAAACATTGAGGTGATCAAGTTACATTATCCATTAAGCCACATTTTCCTAGGTCTATAACTTATAAGCCAACGAGTGTCAATGGTGACCGACTTGTTGATTTTATTATTATTATGATGATGGACAAGTTTGGGAAGGTTATCACCTCACATTCACCCTACATTTTCTTATACACATTTTAGTAAAATATTTTTTGTCACGCTTGCACCGAAAGTTTGTTTTTCGATAGTTGTTGAACCGTTGGAAAGCGTCCTTTTTCCGTCGAGCGGGAGGTAAAATTAGAATCCCTAAAAGTGCAGGGTGATAAAGTAGAAATCCCCAAAAGTGCTGGGAGCATATATCACTCGCTTATCCCCTGCACAACCAGACACTGAAATAGTGAAATCTATACCACGATCATTACAAAACATAAACTTTCGGTTAAATCTTAAATTCATATTAATATAACCTCCTTGCATGACGTGTAAAATAAATAAAACCAAATCGTTTCTTTCATCATGAAATATTGTTTTCGTAGAATAGTCTAGTTTTTGCACAGATTCCTGCAATACCTTTGCGTTGATCGATGAAGGTGATCAGAGGCGTGAGCCGTGACAAAAATTAGTATGTGTGGCTCGTGCGGAAAGGCAATTTCAGTGTTGGGCGATATGCGGCTCGTGCCGCAAACGTCACCCGTGACTGAAATAGGTCACTTCTCGCACATGTCGTATACGCCATGCAAAGGCTTGGCGTATATAACAGGTATATTTTTGGTTTCCGATTCCCAAACCGTCAAACGAGTAAGTTATCGACACCTGCAGTATAAGCTTATTTAAGTTCTCCTTTTGGTGACCACGATAACGAGTACTGCACAAAAGGATAATTAAATATGATACAACAGGATTTACACTATACGTCTATACGACTCTAAGGTTACTTTACTCCCGAACAACTGACCACGATAACGAGTACTGGATGTTCGAGGGTGAGATATCTTTAACCTAGGCAAGGTATTACTCTTTACGAGTACTGGACGAGAAAGTAAGTACTACAATGTCTTGTTATTTGTCGTTTATCTAGTGTTGTACACCACAATTAATGTCCCCGTACGCACAGCACGTGAGAACGTAAAATAGATCACTCTAGAACAGGAGTAAAGAAAACAAGTAACACCTTTTTTTAAAAAACATAAGGTTTGAAATATAATAAAAATCGATGTTTCCAAAAACAAATAATTAAAAGAAAAGAGTTGTCGTTCACATCGCTTCCGTAGTTGCTGTCGCCTTAAGTAGCCATTCATATTTTGTTGACTCGGCATCCTTGACGTCTGCTTCGTATGTGGTCATTTAATTTGTGATCGGATATTAAAATATTTATAATAAGTGTTTTTGTTTTTTTTGTTATGTATATAACATGTATATACTATATATACAACACACACAATATGCTATTACATCTTTTTAAATCACCCAACGTCAAGATGTTTATTATTATTATAATATGTTATAATAATATCTTTATGTTGTACATTATTTTTTTAATATAGCCATTTTTTTCAGTTGGTTATCAGTAGCCGCCGCGACAGGTTGTTCTCAGCGCTCCGATCAATCCCAACGTTTGTGTTTCTTATAATTAAGTTTATTCAATGAATCCTAAAAATAATAGTAGTTCTCCTCAAGATCGCAATCTTCTAGATACTTAAAAAAAAAAAAAAATACAAGAACTAGTGGTGTTGCTCTCACTCCTCCTTATACAAGTAAAAACAGATTCGCCCCACTTCTAACTCTCCAAGACAACGACAAAATGGACGGCACCGACGACGAAGTCAGCTCTCAACAATCACAGGTTAGACCAAAAATTTCACCTATTTACGTATACAACATTTCTGACTATCAAAACTTCCATACATCATTATCCAATATAACTTTTGATGAATTCTCCATAGTGAACACAAAATCTGCTCTCAAATTAAACATGGATTCCATTGATGATTATGGAACCGCAACAAAACTTTTTGACGATTCCGGTACAGAATACTACACTTACCAATTCCCAGAAAACCAACAACTATCTGTCATCATTAGGAACCTCCCTGTAATTTATCAGAAGCTTGCATCTATAAAGAACTCGTAGAACTGAAATTCTAAGTAGCCTCAGTCACTCGGCTGCAAAATAAATTTAAAACTCCAATACCTATTGTAGCGGTACTGCTCCAAATCATCTGCTGCGATTTACTCTCTAAACTGACTCTTGCATTGTGTAGTAGCGGTAGAACTAAGGCTACCTTCCAAGGGCATTCCTCAATGTACTAACTGCCAGCGTTTTTCGCATACAAAAAAGTTTTGTCACTTACCACCTAGATGCGTCAAATGCGCAGGTGACCACCACTATAGTTCTTGTCCAAAAGATATAAACACTCCACCAAAATGTGTAAACTGCCTTAGCGATCACCCAGCGAGCTACAGAGGCTGTACTTTCTATAAAGAAATTTCAAAAAAAAAAAAAACAATAATAACAAAAATAACGCTACCCAACTTTATACGAAATTCAAATTCCCGGTGAACATCTCTAATAGTAAACAAAATTACGTAACCGATAAACGTTCATATGCTGCCGCAACTAAAAATAAATTGCAAGATAAACCATTAAACAACACAGATAACGACTTCATGAAAACGCTGTTACCCTAAATTAACACATTCGATTCTCAATTATTGCAGATAATAATAGAAAATCTGCCAGCCATCCTTAATAGTGTACATCTAAACTCAAATGGATCCCCATAATACCATTCTATTAAACTAGAACGCCAACGGATTAAAAAATAAAAGGAACACTCTACTAGCCTTCCTTACTCATCATAACATTGTTATTGCTTGTATAACAGAAACACACTTATCAAGTGTTGACAAAATTAAATTCCCTGGTTATATCATACACCGCGCAGATCGTGTTACACAGTCACGAGCTATAGCGGGGAGTTGTTATTCTTGTTCGTGCTCAAATTAAACAACAAGAAATTCCTAATCTTAACCTGTTGTGCCTAGAAGCCGTAGCAGTGCTAATTAAATTAAACAATAGATATGTTACCATCGTTAGTGCTTATCAACCTCCCAGTCACCAAATGCACATTTCGGATTACGATAAAGTAATAAGTCTAGACAACTCAATTATAATGGCAGGCGATTTAATCGCAAAACACACTAATTGGGGTTGTCGCGTAATTAATCCGAATGGCACCAAATTACTATCTTTTATAGATAACACGCCTTATACAATTTATGCTCCAAATGAGCCTACTTATTTTCCTACAGATGTCAATAGACAGCCAGATATCTTAGATATTTTATTAATAAAATCATTTCCTTTTAATTGCACGCAAGAAGCTCTCGCTGAGCTCGACTCAGACCATATCCCAGTTAAAATCACAATTAATTCATCTTTACAATCTTATCAGTCAAACAACTCTCTAATTAAAGGCAAACCTAACTGGGATATATTCTAGAATCAAATTAATATCAACTTAATAATACCTAAAAGTGCTAAAACTATACCCACGATCCAAGCTGCAGAACAAATGTCTGAACACCTAACCACAGTCATTGCTGACGCTGCACGAGCGTGCTCTAAGCCCACGCTACATAATACTAAAAACATCGGCTTTCTACCTCAATATATACTTTCCTTAATCCAACGTAAACACCATGCTAGACGAATTTGGCAAAACCAAAGAAATACGGAAAACAAAAAGTCACTGAATAAACTCACTAAGGACGTGAGTACGGCCCTACAAAACTACCGTGTGTCGTCGTATAATAGCAATCTCCTAAAAATGTACCCGGGAGATTCAAATTTATGGAAGGAGACCAAACGACTACTGAACCAAGAAATAAACATGATCCCTCCTCTCCGTACATCAAATCAACTGGTGATATCCGACGCAGATAAATTTAATGTTTTTTCAGAAATGTTATACAACACATTTTCTACCAACCAAACTACAGATATAAATAATGAACGGCGGATCCATAAGTTATTAGATCTAACTGATTATTCAGTTCAAACGTGCATGGATTATGTTACACTCAATGAAATTAAGCTAATTGTCAAAAGTTTACCAAACAAAAAAGCCCCGGGCCACGACCACCTTACCAACCTTATGTTTAAGAAACTTCCTGCCAAAAGACTCGTCTTTATGACTTCCTTATTTAATTTTTTGTTACGCGTTGGTCATTTTCCACTGAATTGGAAATTAGCAACAGTTATTCTAATTAAAAAACCGGGTAAGGATAAATCAAATCCTGATAGCTACAGACCGATAAGTCTACTAACCTCCCTGTCAAAAATGTTTGAAAAAGTTATCCACACAAGACTACAAAATTTTTTGAACAGCGCAGATGTTATCCCAAAATTTTAATTTGGGTTTAGGTCCAACCACTCGACCGTACAACAGCTTTTCCGTATAACAGAACATATTAGCACTTCATTTGAAAAACATTGCCATACTGGTGCTGTACTGCTGTATTTATAGACGTCTCAAAAGCGTTTGATAAAGTATGGCACGAAGGTTTTTTATTCAAACTAAAATCTTTCAATACACCGAAGTACTTATTCAATATGATACGGAGCGTCTTTCCGGGACGTCCGTGATCGTGAATAACAATGCGTTGTGTATTGTTATGGT